AAAATAAGAAATTTAATAAATACGAGGTAAATAATTATTTTAGGGCTTAAAAGAGAAAGGCTTGAGGTAATATGTCAGCATATTTTGCCTTTTTCTCGTAAATTTACTATATCAACTTGTACAGGGAAACAGGTTTGCGGTTTTCAAAAGGTCAGCAGGTAGTTTGTTAGATGTTATATAATTGGGTAACCTGAAGAAATCCAACTGAAGTGTAGTGTTGAAGAATGTCATAATTATTTAATTTAACACTTTGCATTTTTAATTATATTTTCGAAGTGAACCCAGGGTCATCATTGACTGTCCCCACTTTTTAGAATGTGTTTGGTGCCAAGTTTAAAATTGCGGTGTTTGAGTTAAATGACACTTAATAGCTGCAAAACTGTCTCCATGGTCTGGGTTTGGAGTATATATACCCCAAAAAACTGAAAATCTTCCAACCCCTTAAGTTACGTCATTACCGAGTTACAATATTATTATAATTATTATTTAATTTAAAAAAATATGGTCTTTTTATTTCATTGAAAACAGTACCATTTCAGTAATCTGTACAATTATAGGAAATATTAAAAATGGTTCCATTGTTTAAGCTGCCATTTTCTATATGTCCTTGTGAAAACGATTCCAAAAATGATTTCACTCTCACACATCCTGAATAAAAAAAATGATTGTGAACAATTAATTGCAAAACATTTTTTGTTATTCTGATTCTACTTAATTTATTACATTCCCCAGGGACTTTATAAAAACTAACAAAATTAGTACATAATTTGTCATTCATAGCTTTTGTCACCAACACAGCAAAACAAATAAGAAATGTTGAATAATTGTAAAAAATTTTCTTTGTAACTAAAATTAAAATAGTAACTTATTTATGTTATTATTTCCAAAAATTCACAGCTATCACTAGAATTCAAAATATAGAATCATCTGCGATCAAAACTTATTGATAGAATATATGGATATAACGAACAGTATCCAATATCTAGAGTATTAATTTGAACATATGCTGTTATTCTTTCGTAATTTAAAAATTTTTTTAAAATAGAGGCGTTTCCCGCATTCCTGAACCAGTGGCACTACTGGATAAATTTTATATAAGGTGACTGCTTTAACTATGCCATATCTATTCATAGATAATAATCAAGATTTGCTGCATAACCTAATCTAATTCAAAATAAATTCAATTTAAATCTTCCTTTAATGTTAATCCGAGGGTTCTCCAATTTAAAAAGAAATTTTATAAATTAAAGTAAACTTGAGTAAAAATGTGTCAATTCTTTTCAGACAAATATTACATTTATAAAACATATTTGCATATATTTTCTTCTTGATTTTTTGTATTCAGACACAATGTATATTTTGACTGAGGATTTATCTATAAATCAATAGTAAAGGGGTTAAAATTTACATTACACAATCATGGAGAGTTTCCTGCTTTCAAGTGTCAATTAGTTATACTAGATATGTTACTTTGTCATGTGTATATGTACAGAAGCTCAATTATTCTAAAAATTAGTGATTTTTATGAACATGTTCTCCATGAATTTTTTATGCTCACAAGTTGTAATGTAGGGTCAGTGCAATTGACACGTTATGTATCGTCATTATTTTATAATGTTCGAAAAATTAAGCTAAACCGTATATGCATACACCTGTATCAGCGCATTTTAAACTTTTATAGCATTATTATTTCCTTTATAGAAGAAATTATAAACGTATTTTAAAATACATAGTTAATGTTTCTGTAAGCAATGGATTTTACCTTTTCTAACTTCATCTTTAGCCCCCCCATAAAATATGAAATGCAGATTGGATTATTAAATAATTAGCGAAAAAAATATTCACAATATTAAATACATCCTTAATAGGATGAAATATTTAGAAACATCCTTCTTGCAATTTTTCGTTCAACTCCGAGGGTACAGTACCCAAAATTTCCCTTCCCACCTAAATGAACGAACGCAGATAATCAACGCAATGTCCTAAAAAACCGAACGCAATAGAATTTGGTGAAGATGTGTGAACGGTGAATGAGTAAAGTTTGAGAGAACAGCGCAAAATGAACGGTTATATTTTCGGAATGCCTCCGATCTTTTCCTTGCATTGAGATTATTCTATAATTCTAATTCCAGTTGCTTTAATATAAATAAACAGCTGCACAATATAAATAAATTGACAAAATTTATTCTTTTCCTGTCATAGCAATACCTATAACCTTTCAAATTACGTTATAACACGATTGTATTTGCCGTAAAACATTGTATTTGTTACCGAACGCGTGTAGATTAAATATAAAATAATTATTCATTAAATACTTACATGTATTACAAGACTCTAAAACTAACATCTTCCTTAAATGAAGAAATATTAATATAGAAAGCACAAAGAAAACTTGTAAAATGTGCTGTATAAATAATCAATTAATTTCATTACAACATTATTGCATTATTTTTCTCCGGAATGCCAGTAAACTTGTATCTCACTGTCCTTATTCTCAATGACCACTTGGCTGATAGGAATTCCATCGGCATCGAAAAGCAGTTTTTGACTTGCCTAGATAGCCGAGCGGTCTAGCGCGCTGTTCCTATTGCTTAGGACACACAGTTGGGAATATAATAATCACATTAAAATTTGATAAAAGTGTTTCAAATTACATTATATAATTATTTGAATTTTCTTCACCCAAATGTTTCTCTTTTTGCAATAAAATTTGACATACTTATAAATTTATTTGAAAGAAGTAACGTTAAAATTTGACGTTATCAAGTTTTTGACAGAAGCTTTACAAAATAAACAACTGTAGTAACATAGTAACGTTACACAATGATTGGCAGAGTATATGACGTCGTTATTATGAAGTAAAATGTACTATGACGTCATAGGTAACAGCTCATAGCGCACAGGTAAAAGTACGGGAAATTTTCAAGTTCTTAATAAAAATATATATAGAAAGTACAAGAAATTCACTTTTATCCTCCGCCCCAGCCCGGGGTTGAACTCTCGACCTTCGGAATCTGTCTCCTAGCAGTACAGGAACAGCGCGCTAGACCGCTCGGCTATCTAGGCAAGTCAAAAACTTGCTTTCGATGCCGATGGAATTCTCGCGGCGCTGTCCTACACTACATGGTCATTGAGAATAGAAGTGAGATACAGTTATTTGGACATTAGTTTTAACAGAGGATTGATACCAATACATGTTGTAATGAAATTAATTATTATTTATACAGCACATTTTACAAGTGAATTTCTTTGTGCTTTCTATATTAATATTTCTTCATTTAGGGCAGTTATGTTAGTTTTAGAGTTGTTGTAAAATGTAAGCATAAGCATATTTACTATATCAATAGATTAATTTTATATTTAATCTACACGCGTTCGGTAACAAATACACATGTTTTACGGCAAATAAAATCGTGTTATAAGAATACCGATTTAAAACATACATGAAGGTACATATATGTACAGGAAAAATGTTTTTTTTATTTATTTATTTATATTATTTATCTATTGTTTATTTATATTAAAGCAACTGGAATTAGAATTATAGAATAATCTCAATGCAAGGAAAAGATCGGAGGCATTCCGAATAAATTGTTCATCTTGCGTTCACCGTTCATTTTGCGCTCGCGTTCGCGCTCTGTTTGCGTTCTGAGTTCACTCACCGTTCACCGTTCACACATCGTTCACCAAGTTGCGTTCAGCGTTCGCACATCGTTCACGCACCGTTCGCTCTGCGTTCGTTCACCTTTCGTTCAGCGTTCGTTCACCATTCAGGTGGGAAGGGAAAGTAGAACGTTTCAGGGACTGTACCCTCGGAGTTGAACAAACTTGAATCTACACTATCTGAGGAGGATGTTTCTAAATGAGTTTCATCCTATTGAGAGGATGTATTTAATAGATTCTATTATTTTTTTCGCTAATTTCTTTAATTAATTTTTAATCTGCGCTTGGAAGAGAGAATACAATCAGGCAGGAAAAAAGCATGTTCGATGTACATCGCTTGGAAACCCCATTGCTTACAGAAACATTAACTATGTATTTTAAAATACGATTTATAATTTCTTCTATAAAGGAAATAATAATGCTGAGAAAATGTTTAAAATGCGCTGATACAGTGTATTCATGAAACGGTTTAGCTGCTTTTTTTATTTGTTTAACATTATAAAATAATGACGATACATACACGTGTCAATTGCACTGACCACTACATGTACAACTTGTGAGTGGTTATAAAAAATTCATGGAGAACATCATAAAACTCATAATGATGTTGAATAATTGACGCTTCTGTACATATACACATGACAAAGTAACATATCTAGTATAACTAATTGACACTTGAACAGGAAACAACCATGATGACTGTACAAAAGATTAACTTTATTATTGATTTATAGATAAAATCTAGCAAAATAAGAGACAATGCTGAAATACAAAAAATCAAGAAGAAAATATATGCAAATATGTTTATAAAGAGAAAATCACTTAAAACTGAAAAGAATTGACACATTTTTTCTCAGTGTTTACTACTTTTTTGCTTATATATAACATATTTCTTTTTAAAAAAAAAGTTAGCAGAGAAAGTATAACTCCCTTTTAATTAACATTAAAGGAAGATTTAAATTGAATTTATTTTGAATTAGATTATTAGATTATGCAGCATTTTTATCTGTGATTATTATCTATGAATAGATATGGCATAGTTAAAGCAGTCTGTAATTGTATTGTTATCATAAGTATCAGCTGTTTGCACTGGTTCAGGAATGCGGAAACGCCTCTATTAAAAAAATCCGTTTTAAATTATGAAAGAATGTCATATGTTATATGGACTCTGATATTGGATACTGTTCGTTATATCCATATATTCTTCAATAACATTTTGATCGCACTCATGATTCTATATTTTGTCCTGCTTAGTGATTCTGTGAATAACATATCTCGTATATAATAACATAAATAAGTTACTATTTTAATTTTAGTTATAAAGAAACGTATTTTTTACAATTATTCATACATTTCTTTTTATTTGTTTTAGATCTCCGGTCTGGTGCTTGCTGACTGGATGCATCCTCATTATAGTTTCAGTATGACAAACTTATGTACTTGCAATTTTGTTAGTTTTTATAAAGTCTATTTGAAGAACATACAATGTAAGTAGAATCAGAATAACAAAAAATGTCCTTTGCAATTAATTGTTCAAAATCATTTTTTTTATTCACAGGATGTCGTGAGAGTGAAGGAATAGACATTTTTGGAATCAACAGTAATAGTAGAGTGACCCTTGTGAATGCGTCGTGCATGAATACGCAGCTTACACAACATCAAGGAATTTTTAATATTTCCTATAATTGTACAAACAAAGTGACGAAGGTATGATTTCCTATCAAGGGTTAGCTTATTTTAAAAAGACCATATTTTTTTCAAATTAAATAATAATTATAATAATAATTGAACTACTCTGTAATGACGTAACTTAAGGGGTTGGAAGATTTTGTGGAAGGTTCGAATTTTGGGGTATATATACTCAGGCATACCCTGACCATGGAGACAGTCTAGTTCCAGCTATTAAGTGTCAGGTAACTCAAACACCGCAATTTTACTTGGCACCAAATATATTCTAAAAAGTGGGGACGGTTGCCGACACGTGATGACCCTGGGTTCACTTCGAAAATATAATTAAAAATGCAAAGTGTTAAAATTAAATAATTATGACATTTTAAAGTTCTAATACAGCTTCAGTTGGATTTCAGAATAAAGGTTATTTCAGTATTTTCCCAATACTTATTTGCCTTACACTTTTTTTATTCAGGAAAACGCGTATTTGTAAGAGAGATTTAATCTTCTGAATGAGCATGTTTGCTTTTTTCCCAGTCTCCAAAGGCAATTGTTAAACTGAAATTTAAAATAATTCTTATAAATAAAAAGGCGAAATAAAATCGGAAAATACGATAGGAATGTGCAACAGATCATTATCATCGTTTGCTTCCCTTTCTGATTGAGACATATTCAGGACATTATGTTCATGCACATGTATCATGCAAGCAAACACGTAATACAGCAATAAACAAGAACAGATACGGGTTACCCAATATCCAAAGATATTCAACTTTTAAATATAACAGTGTTTAATTACTTCAATAAAAATCCTGCACTGTCTATTTATATTGGGGGGGGGGGGGGCTAAACCAACAGAAAAAGGTAAAATCTAATTTTCAATGCCTATATTATGTAAATATTTTCAAAAAATGTTTGGGGGGGGCTAAGCCCTCCCCTGTTCCGAGGCCTATGAAAGTTCATGAATCCATAGCATTGCTGCCCACAGTCTCCTAGCAAACAGTGCAAATATCTGTGCCTGCAAGACCAGTTAGCCTTGGTCTATACACGTAATGAGATTGTCAAACGCATCCAACGAGCTCGGAGAAACACGTTTGTTTGCCGAGAAGTTACGATGGCGCCGGATCCAGTGTTGTATAACTATTTTGGATTTAGAATTCCACTTTTCAATTTCAGGAAAATTCGGGAATATTCAGGAGACTTCTTTAAGAAACTTTAAAGAAATCTGTATAAGCCAGGAAATGTCTGAAAAATAAGCCGTTTATTTGTATACAATGGAAAATTCAATTTGTGAGTGGTAGCAAATTCAAATCCGACGATGAATGATCTGCAAAGAAACAGATTATAGTTAAAAATCTTGTCAAAAGAGTTAGGAACGTCATTAAACGTGATGTGCACTTCACGTTTGCGGAACTAACCGAGTTCCGCGGTAGGCCTACGGAATTTGAAAACAATGACAATCTAGTTCAAGCTATCTGCACAGTTGTAAGCAAACTAGGTGTTTAATGTTATGGATACGTTTTTATGAATGAACAAGACGTTACAAACTGTGTATGAAATTAATAAACAGAGTAATTTTGAGAAACTTTCTAGACGTTGTTTTTGACGTTACAATGTTTGTTTACCGTGCTCCGGTGTAACAAAACATGTTGTTTTAAAAATTGGCTAGCTTGTTTTTTTATTTAATCAAATGGAATGAAACTTCAAACTTCGACAAAATAAATGTTTTTATTTACGAAAATGTGTTGATCTATAATCTTGTAAAAATAATATGACGATGAGGAACATTGTCTACATATTTTTTTGAATGACCCTCGTACTTGAATTTTCAACACGAAAATATAGGCCTAGTTCATCATTGTAGCTTTGCATTTGGCGGGAAAATATAACGCTTTACTAGCGGATGTAGAAATCGGATGAACTCTTTTTTTCTTCACAAATTAAACATGTAATTTTATATTTGATTACATACCAGAAAAATTTATTTTAGCAACATTTTTACTTAATTAAATCATATGAATACAAATTCTGATTAATAAAAAAATCCCTGTGAAACTACATGTATATGTTCTAACATTTGCATCCACAACAAAGTGTGTTTAAATGGGTTTCGAAAATCAAGGCCGAGTCGAGAAAATCGAAACCTAAAACCATTTATGTATTTTGGAAAATTACTGAAATATACTAATGTATTCGTCAGGTATCTTACTTATATAAATCAAATTCTATATTGGATAATATGCTGAGCTTCAACATGAAGCTGGTTTTCAGTTTAGAAATCTCCGACCCGGTTCGGGTTTTGCTACACATTTTACATTTGCGCTCCCTACAGTTTAAACTATCTACACACATGGAGAAATCTGCCCATGGGTTTGAAAACTCCCTAATTAATAAAAACACTCACACTGAATATTTTTTTCTCTAACATGATATTATATAATTATTAACGAACAATTATCATGAACTTAATACAATTGTTGATATAGTATAATCGATTCATCGGTGAAAAAATATCAATGACCTAAATTTTCTCTGTTATCAAACATGTTAAAAAACTGAGGAGGGAGCGAGCGTAGGAATATTAATATTTTTTATTTGCATTTTGGGGAGGGGGGTGATTTTTTAAAAACGGTTTTACGTTAATTTTGGTTTCTTTAACGTATGACATACACAGCATTATTCTAATTATAAACAGTATTTTTATATATCTACCTATCATGATGGAACTATTTTTGTCGGAACAATTCGTGTCAAGCGTACCCGACTACAATTACTTTTATAATATATCTTGAAATAATAGTAAGCACTGATCAAATATATTAAAAATTTCAAATCTATAATTTACACCGTTCACGGTAGCTCAGTCGGTAGAGCGCTCACTCCGTGATCGGGAGGTTGTGTGTTCGTATCTCGACCGCGACTGACCTAGTCGATAAAATGGGTAGCAACTGTTCCTTCGCCATGCGCTTGGCACTTTGAAGTGAAAGTTGCGGGTCCTTCGGATGAGACCTTAAAAACCGAGGCCCCGTGTCAGCGGCAGGCGTTAGCACGATAAAGATCCCTCACTGCTCAATGGCCCTGAGTGCCGAGTAAAGGTCAAAATTTTGAATTTGAATGTTGCTTTTCATTTACAATACTTACCCGTCAAGGCCAAAAAAAATTGTAATCGAATATGTAATTACTCGACTGTGACCTCTTTTGTTAAAAAGCATGAAGTTCGAGTTCCATATGTTTTTCGGGTGTATTTTTCATCTTTTTTTCTTCCATGTGTTCTCCATCTTTAATTGATAACGAAAAATAGAAAATTGTTTGATTAAAATGCAGTGTATGTCCACAAAACAATGTGAAAGTGAAGTTAAAATGGCCCAAGCTGGTCGTAGTTAACAAAAGTTCTGTTTCTTTTCACTGTATGAATTGATTTTACTTAAAACCTTTATAATTATTGCCCTAAAAACCTACAAAGCATACCTAAATTCCTTTTAATCATTATAAATCGCTAGATTTTCAAAAAACGCAACACTATCATCCTAGAGTTTATCCAGAAATATCAATGGAACCGGAACCGGAAGTGCCCTCCCCTCAATGTCAAACTGGAGGAGTGGGGAATACATGTAATGAGACATTATGTAACTATTGTCAGCAAGGCACAGCAAATTTCAGTAAACCCCCTCGTCATCCTAATCTCAACCTTAACTTACATGTATGGAAGAAGATAGACCGGAGTGTGAGATAGCTTTTCTAGCAGCAGAATTTAGCGGAACTAGAGGACGGCCTAGTCTCCACATGGATTGATTGATTGTATGTTGTTTAACGTCCCTCTCGAGAATTTTTCACTCATATGGAGACGCCACCGCTTTCCGGTGGAGGGCTACAAATTTTATCCTATGCTCGGCACTCAGGGCCTTTGAGCAGTAAGGGTTCTTTTTCGTGCCAGCACCTACTGCGACACGGGGCCTCGGTTTATACGGTCTCATCCGAAGGACCGGTCTCCACGTCACACAGTGGGATTCGAACCCGCGACGTAAAGATTGACTCCTTACTTCGCGACTCTAGAGCAGACGCTCAAACCACTGCGCCACGCGGGCGACGTCTCCACATAGAAAAACATTTAATAAAAGATTTTTTCTTAAATTGCGTGAATTCTTTGAGGAACGGTTGTTTTGCTGTGAATTTGTTTGAATGGAGGATAATTCAGTATTTAACGTTGTGTGTTTTTTATTCTAGGGTGCCTAAACGATTCTGCATATTGTGTTAAACTGCTTCAATAAAATAAATTAAGTGAGAAAAATTGTTTTGCTACTTTTTTTATCCTGTATTCTTATTAAATTACACTGATAAATAATTCAATATGAGAGCGGTGTAAAGCAAAAACTTGCCTGGGGACTTAGAAAGTTTGACTAGTATAGAAATTTCCTCATGAGAAACTTATTTGCTTTCCTTAATTGGCATTTATAAGCATGGTTTGCGGATAGGAGAAATAGCGATGCTTCTGAGAGAGAAATTAACATTATTTTTATACAAGGTACAGATTTACCAATATCTCTATAATGTCTGGCAGTTCACTACAGACGTGTAGATTGGAATGCCCACAAATCTGAAATTGAAAATGAAACAAACCATCTTAAAACAAGAATAATTGTTCACTTTTCTTTTCAAGAACAACAAATTGAATTTATACGAATGTTTGGCTGTATTATGAAACGGGCACCTGTTTTTCACACTCTATCAGACCATACATGACAGTAAACACTATCCCTCGGAATGTTTGCAAATACATGGATACAACATAAACAAAGTAAAACGATCTGTTAAATCACAAAATATCTCTTTAATCATCTTTAAAAAAGGTCACAGTAAAAAGTAATTCCTTACTGCAGTGGATTTCTTTTCTCCCCGATATATGTGCATGTACCACATGTATAAGTGTAGAAAGATCTTCTTTCACTTTCAATGACTTTGATCCTTCAAACCTTTCGTCATTTTATTCTGACTCTTCGAGAGATTCTCCACTAAACAATAAATCAAGATAATCTACT